TGTGTGTGTGTGTGTGTGTGTGTGTGTGTCTGTGTGGTGAGTACATGGTAAGACTGGAATAAAACCGTGGATGCAGAAGTAAAGAGAATGATGTGAGCAGTAGTCCAATAACAGGACATCAACAGGTCTTTTTTTCTTCATGCACATTGTTTCCAGTGAGCAGATAAACACTTGATGTGTCCTCACTGTGGGGAGGTGAGGGCTTCAAGTGGTGCATGCACATTCACATGCACTATGCTGCCGGATTCAGACCTGCTGATGTCTCATGTTTGTGCATTTTTGGTGAACGAATTCTAGGAAGGCTGTTTATACATGGTATTTAATGCTCATTGAAGGTTGATCAGTCATTTACCAACTGTTTCAGGCACAGATACATCTGATCAGGAAGCCTCTGAGTAAGAGCAGAGGGGCTGTTACATTTCTAACATGTTCTAAGCAACTGACCAATCAACAGCGGGCCAACAGACCAATCGGAGAAGACTGGGCTTTTTAGGAGGCGGACCAATAACTGAAACATTTCTGACAGAGGGTGAGTTGCTGCAGTAGTTGACAGTATGAGACAATCAATGTACATTACATTATGTAAATCTATCTAATGGAGCCCAAAATGAATGTTAATGGCCAAAATATGAGCAGTTTCACCTGTTTGACCAGACAACTCAATTCTGATATGATCTGAGAAGATTTGAAATCACATTTTACAAATACAATGTACTGTTATATACGTCAATTGACTAAATATTATATTATACTATGTTAAACAGCTCATTCTAATCTGCATTATCGCTGGGAACTCTGAAACACCCAGTTGACGGCGTGTGTGCAGACAGAAATACAGCAAAGACAGTTAAAGTTGAATTATAGTGTTTGGAAACAGGACACACACTCGATGCTTCAGTGACAAATTACCTCTCTGTTGCTTTTCCTGAGTGATTTCTAAATTTACGTCTATTTGGGTTTTTACATTGACTTTGCATTGTTGCACTGCGTTTGGTATGAACGCAACATGTGTTGATTAGGGGGCGGTTTGGCCAGTGAGAATGATACCCAAACATCCACCCATGCTGCTACAACACTGTGTGTGAGTGCAGCTAGTTTATCAGTGATCCACAAGGAAATCTGACTAATCTGCCACATGAAGGCTTTTACAGGACCATCGTGTTTAGTGATCTGTGGGAAATGTCCACTGTCCTTTTCCTCATTTTTGACAGCACACACTCAAGTGAAGCTCTGAATATGAAGAAACACATAGTGGAGCCATGCGTCATGTTTTTACCAGACATAAATATGAGGACTTACACAGCTCTGACTGTTTCACTGGGACATTAAATTGAATATCTATGAGCCCTTTGAGATGTTGGTTTTGTATCAATTATTATAAACTGATCTGTGGATATGGTCAATAAACTGGAACACAAGCAGACTGATAAACTTTAGTGACAGAAAAGACACTGTCGTGATGGTCTGCAGCGACTCACTGTGGCAGTTTAAAGTTGTTTCCGACAAAAGATTCTCTGGTAAACAATCTCCAGAGAAACAACCTGCATTGTCCTGATAGAAAAATGAGCTGCTGATAGAAGCTGTGTTGTGGCTCTGTAGTTGTGGATACGTCAAACTACCCTTTCCTCAGTCAATAACTGTTGTGGCAATGCTGCCGTTCAATCCTCTTTACCTACTCATCTTAGCGCTCAGTTCCAGCTCCCTTCAATGATTCCCTTCTTCTGCTTTTGTAGGCATAAAAACACAAGTGTTAATAGTAGTGTTAATAGCAGTACAGTATTTTAGAGGCTGGGATTAATTTAGATTTAATTCAATCACTTTAACATACAGCTGGTCTCATTCAAACAAAAGGAAAACTGTTATATTCAGAAACTCTTCCAACAACCAGTGTGTATGTGAGAATACAGCTGAAACGATATGTAAAAATACTAAAACGTCTTTCAGTGATCATTCATCCGTTACCTAGATTGCAGTTCCAGGGGATATTATTTGAATTGAATCATTTGACACAGAACTGAACTCGCCAACCTTTACATTTTCTCTCCATTAAACTATGCATAACACATGTTTTGTGTGAACTTAATAAAGAAATAAAACATTTTTCTTCTGATAATCATTGTCAAGCATCAGTTCATGTTCAACAAGCAGGTGGGGAGAGGAGGAGAGTGATGGGGAGGAGAGTGATGAAGAGGAGGAGAGTGATGGAGAGGAGGAGTGATGGAGAGGAGGAGAGGACAGACGAAATGGTGAGGCTGAGGGGGCGGGGGCGGGGGCAGCAGCAGGTATCATTGTCTCAGGTACTCTGTGACTCCCCCTACATATCAATCACACAATCTATATTTCACTAATAACACTGCAAATACACCAAAGTCTTTTTTTTCTGGCTCTTAGCATTAAATGACGTGCTGTATCAGTGGGGATACAGTGCACCTGTCCAATAAACAGAACTTTGTATTGGACAGGTGGACAAACTAATGTCTACTGTATGTTGTAGAAAACATCTGCCTTCCACAGTAACATGTGTCAGCGTTCCCTCTGTGCCTTGTTATTTTTATGGAATTAACTCAATATATAGAAGATCTGGCACCATAGACAGCTAAGGACTGAAAATGAAAAGCTCCCCTTCATATCCAGTTGCCATCTTTACCTGGAAAGGAAAGAAGACACACAATGGAGAAAGCTACAAAGGTCTAACTCCCTGCCAACAAGAAGGAAAGGTTTGTTTATTTAGGTTTTTTAATAAATCTTTCCTTATCTTAAACTGCAACAGTTACTATTTCAACACTGACAGTGGATTAGCATTATTACTCTGCTTATGACTCAACTCAGCTAAGTCTTTCAAAAGCCTCTTTTAGTGTAATGTGTTGGTCTTCCGGCCAAACTCCACCCTTATCAGCCTTGTTTTGAGCAGCAGCAGCAGCAGCAGCAGCAGCAGCAGCGTTGAGAGAAAGAGCTCTGATACGCCCTCTATCCACGGCCTGCTCAGCAGCACGTCACAAAGACAGCACTGATGAACATGGTGAAGCATTCAGCAGATGTTCAATATTTTTCTCTGAGGCCAGTAGAGCTCTAACACACACCTACAAGAGGGGGGGACACTGCACACTTGAATGTAGAACTAGCATGCCCTGTGGGAAGCACATGGAGGCTTAGAATGTGTGGTTTAAAATAGACTTGGGGTCATTTCCAAACCTGCTGCTGAGGCTGCTCAGAACCTGTCAAGCGGAGATTCTAGTGTCATTTATAGAAACGGTTAGCATCTCTCCTGTACAACATAAAACAAGCTTTGCTGACACTCGGCGAGCTGCTGACACTGGAGCCACAGCACTGTGTTATTGCCAGTCTGAGGTTTGCACCAACGACCAACAGCATCCTGTCTGGACAGAGTTTAGCTCTGATTGAACAGCTCTACACAGAGACACACACAGTCAGGAGACATCAGTCAATGGTACAAATAAACCTTTCCTCAGCATGATCTGATAAGCTTCTTTACATCTGAGGGGTTTTATTCTCTCTTCTGTGAAATGGTGAATAATGATGAGAAGAAAAAGAACCTCGGTACACAACTGTTGTTCTCTGTTATCTCCACATGGCGCCTCTCTCTGGGCCTTCACAGTGATGTTTGAGTTTGCTGCTTTTAACGCCCTCTGTCAACGAAATAATCAAAGAGACAAAACAAAGCAAGGCCGCCGTCTTTGGTTAAAGAAAATAAAGGGTTACTGATGACTCTTGTGTCAGTGTGTATCATGAAATCCACCTGCCACATCTGTTTGGAGTAGGTAAATGTGTGGAAGAGCTGATAAATGAAGCAGCAAAAGCTAAGAAAATGATGCCCTCAAAACCCTGCACTTTTGATTAACCTAGGTTAAGAGCCATACTGTGTGCCAGCCATTCACTTTTCCATTTGAACTGCATCGTATGAGCCCTATGGAGGTGAACTGGGACACAAGCCTCCCATTGTGAGCTGCTTCTCAGTGCAGACTCTGCGTGAAGCAGGCAGTTACTGGACACTGATGTCTTGTTACAAAGACTCATTTCTTTCATGCATTTGTCTTAAGGGGGAGTGCACTTGTGTGTTTATAAGGTCTTTCTGATTGCCCAATAGCAACACACACACAATTGACATGGAAGAGGAGGAAGGGGGGGTGGCTGGAGAGAGGGAGTGTATGAAGGGAAAGATACGAATAAGTGTTTTAACATTTGAACACAACGTAACAACCTGAGACTAGTGTGGGGGAGTAGGTGGGAAGTAAGGTGACAGAGAAAGAGAGGGGGAAAGAGAGAAAGACAGATCAACAGACTGATATTCAGAGAAAGAGAGAAATAGTGCAACAAAGATAAGTAAAGCGACACTTCTTGAATCTGGGAGCATGGGGGGGGTAGAAAAGGTAAAAAGACAAGAGGAGAACAAGGACTTTGGGTAAGGGGAGAGAGAGCTCAGGGAGGGAGGGAAGAAAATAAGGGGGAGACAGTAAAGAAGGGAAGAATTTAGAAGAAAAATTGAGACACAGGAGCTGTAGTGCTTTCAGGAGTATGGCTGTGGAACTCCATATCCTGGTCTGTAGATGGGTCGCCCCGTTGGTGACTGAGAACTGGAATAGGGGGGCCCTGCAGGGTAGCTGTAGCCACCATAGCTGTAGGAGGCCGGGTACGGGGCAGGGCCACTCTGGGGGTGGCTGGGGGTGTACTGGCCAAATGCTGAGCCTGGGTGTGGTGCAGGGAAGGAGGGCTGAGTAGGATAAGGGCAGGTGGCTGACGCCGGAGGCCCAAAAGTGGGCCTGGGGCCAGAGAAGCTACCTGGGGGGCCAAAAGGTGAGCCGGAACCTGGGTAAGGAGGGAATTGTGATGGTGGATTGGCTGGGCCAGAGCCTGCTGCCGCTGCTGCGGGAGAGGGGTTGGGTGGGGAGACAGGGTATGGACTGTAGGGTAGGCCGGGGCAGCACCCTGCAGATGAGGAGGCCGGCTGAGATGCGTTTTGGTAACTGGAGGACTGAGGTTGGGAGTTCGGTTGCTGCGGATTTGTTGTTGTTGTAGTTGTCTGTTGATTCCATGGTGAGGGCGTGGCAGCAGGATCCTGGCTGATGCCTGCTGATGATGTCATGGTGGTGGGATTGCCCTCGCTCCTCTGCCGCAGGATCTCCTGGAGCTTCTCTATCCGTACTCGTCTCTTGTGAGCGAGGGAGCGCAGGGAGAGGAAACGGTCAAGGAAGGAGTCCAGTGGCAGAGAGCCCTCCAGAAACTCATCAGCTAGAGCCTGCAGACAGACACATTATCAAGCGACAGTGATGGTTGCTAAACCAGCATCTCAGTGTAACTCCCTTCAACCACAAACTGCTCAGATCGACCACTGACTGTCTAATGGTCTAACAGGCTGCTCTTCATTGTAAATAGCTCCTGGTATTGCAGTCCAGTGCAGCTCATTGTCCGACCTAACTGTTAGCTGCTAGTTATTATTATCATACTAAGTTACTGAATAATAATTACAGTGCTTCCTTCCTGATTCCTTTTAGTTTTGTATATTTGTTTCAGACCAGACTAATTTCAGAATGAAGCAACAATGGACTTTTGTTTATGAGTGTTTGCAATTTGGTGCCGATCCAAATAAAAATCTGGATCTAGTACATTTAAATGTGATTTCATAAGGGATCTGTTGTGCCTTGGAAGAGGTAAGCACTCCACTGAGTCCCCTTCTACTATTCAATCATTTATCTAAAACAGTTGGTTGACACAAATAAGCAAAACAAGAACAAATCAGGAAGGGGGAAATACTTTTTCACAGGACTCGATTCAAAGTGATTTTAAAATCATAAAAACAATCAAATTAAAAACAATTGCAAAGCTTAGGCGAAGTGATTTTTTGTCTCACTCCTAATGTCTATGCATAAGTGTGTGTACAGTTGTTGACAGTCTTGCACTCACCTCTGACTCTGCCTCTGTTTTGCCGCCCTCTGTCTGTAGTCTGGAGAACAATGCCTCCGGAGACACCTGACCTACTATACCATCTAAAGCCGGAGGACACGAGCAAAAGTAAGGGAGGGAGCAAGACAAAAATACATCCCATCAGGCAACAGGAAAAACTGGTTTTGTTCATTCAGGTCCGGTTACAGGTTTAGTAAATACAGACCAGTACAATCATAAGCAAGTATTATTTGCATAAACAGTGTGGAATACAATAGGTGTGTTCAAGTTGTACTCGGCCTGACTGTGTCTAACTTGATCGGCAGCTACAGGAGTGGAGTAAAGAAAAGCCAGCCGTCAAGTCAGACACTTCCACTTGTGACAATGGCCCAACTCAAGTCTTTTCACAGCTCAGTAAAATCAGTTTCAGGAAAACATACAGGGTGATAGGTTCAGCTATATGAAGGAAAAGTCGCATATATAATATTTGTCACAAACCGTTGAACTGACGGTCTACAGCCCATGTAGAACTGAAGACTTGAGAATGCTGTCAACAACTAAAAAGAAATCAAGCTCCATATTTCCTGTTTGCTGTTTTGATTTATGCCTCTTCAGTCCTTTGCTCCTTTTAAAAAATATTGTCCAATCCTCCCTCTAAGGCCAAATGATTTAGAAATATATATATGTATACACATACATGTACAAAAAACCCTAGTCAGAAGAAAATGAATCTTGTGAGTTGTGTGGTCCCAGAGGTGGACCCCAGGGGCAGCAGCTGGAGGAGAACAACGTTCTGACTACAGCCATCTCACTTCCACAATGTTTTAAGGTAACGTGACATGATGTAGTTTTTTACTGTACTGGAAAAACTCGGACCAAATTTCTAACCAGCATGCATCATGTTCAGTCAGTGCTGCGCAGAGCTGTATAAAGTCGAACGCACCTACTGAGCTGTAGCTGTTACTGGTTAAAACAACAGCAACAGTCTTCAGGTTGCAGGCGAAGGGTGGTGCAGCAGGCAGAGGCAGGAAGTAAAGATTTAATTCTGCTGAGGAGATCAAGTGATTTTGTTTGCATCGTATTGACAACATTGTCGGCTCTTATCCCCACAAACTCTTATGACATCTTCGTCTGTGTCTTCTACGTGTATAGCTCTGGATATTCACCCAGCAATATTTGTTTTCTTTTTGCTTCTCTAACAAGTTAGAAGTGTCTTTAAACTCCCCAATTTGCTTGGGGTAAATCCTGCAGAGGATCTCCTGCTGTGCGCTCACATTGAATTCTGCAGACTTAATACGAGGGGGCCAGGCTGAGAAAGTCCACAAAAACTCCAGAGGCTCTCAGTCAGACATTTGTGATCACACATATAGCTCCTTCAGAAAAACTGCAGAGGATATGCAGAGTTCAGTAATTGTCTGAAAGTGGCTTTGGCATTTCTGCAGTTGCAGCAAATCCAACAGAGCCTTTACAAATACAAATTCGATAGAACTGATTCCATACATGTTTTGACAGACAACAGGAACAGTTAGTGCCGAGCTTAACCAATCATGTGGCTGGAATAGAGTTACAGCCATGTCAGGTTAGGTTGATGCACTCAGCGTGCTAATGTCTGGGCCACTGCAACCGTGCACATCAGTACATCAGGAGTGGGAGTGAGATAAAAGAGACGACCAAAGATATTAACGAAAACTCGTGCGACAGCGTTACAGAACAAGACACCCCAACGGACACAGCTTTGTGTCTTCTGATATGAAAACAATTATCTGTGATAACATTTTATTCCATATTGCCTGACTCATCAGCCAAACCCTAATGACGTCCATAGTAAAATTAATCCAACATAGTGCTAGAAATGAAAATCGTAATCATTACAGGTTGGAGAGAAGGAGTTTCTGTTCTGTAATATCTGATTAACATGACTTTGCTTTCTAGTGTGCTGCTTTTGATTTGCTTAGTTTATTAATGAAACACGAAGGGGCATTTCACAAGGATATGGAGGATATGTAACTGCGAGAAGCACAGTTACATCCTATTTACTTGATTGGAAGAGTCTAACATGACAACTAAAGACTGTTTCAAGAGGATCGACATGAAACATGAGTCAGCATCTGTCTCTCCTCTCTCTGCTGCTGCTGCTGAGATTCACTGTCTGCAGGTATCACTGGCAGAGAGGGAAAGGGTCTGGTTTGTCTCAGACATCAGAGAAGTTTATAAAGCTGCTTTCAGACATGCACTGAACCCCGGCGAATCTCCCGACACTCTCGGGAGGGGATTTATGTGAGAACGCAACTGTCCAAGTAGGAGGCTGGATCCTACTTGGGCTAACCTATCGCAGGATTCAATGTGCACTGGTGAAAAAGCTATAGCGCGCTAGCTTTGGGGGTGGATGAGCTGCAGTAATTGCATCCGCTCAAAGTAGCTAATGATGCAATTGGGACAAGCTGGTGATGCAAATATTAAGTCCTCCGTAGACCAGACCGCCATTTCAGCTAGGCTTTGGAAAACTATTCCAGACTGACTGTGTGTGTGTGTGTGTGTGTGNTGTGTGTGTGTGTGTGTGTGTGTGTGTGTGTGTGTGTGTGTGTGTGTGTGTGTGTGTGTGTGTGTGTGTGTGTGTGTTTTTAAAGGCCACAATAAGCCTCAATAAAGTAACCAGCCGGACTTCAATGAGCAGTTGGCTACTTGAGAGTCAGCCGGCGCTTGTGGAAGCAGACACCCAGGGAACCATGCACAGCTCTACAAAGTTCACTTACAGTGATCATGTGGGGTCTTTTCATACATGTTTGGACCATGAAAAGTTATTTATTCAAAGTTTTGTATGGCTCTGTCAGTAATTTACTGCTCGCTGCACCGGCCGTGTCAAACCAAACCAAGCGTTACATCACAGTGATGAATTTGACCCTGAAACATGATCACTAGAAGTTTCCACAGAATTATTTAGGCGGAGCGAGATTTGCTGCCCGCAATTCTCCTTCTCTCTCTATTCTCTTCTTCCAACAATGATTCAATGACGGAAAAACCCGTCAATGATCTGAATATCTCTTTATTATCTAGGGCAGCAGGGCTGCTTCTGATTGGCTAAATATATTGACATGCAGAGCGTGAAAACATGGCACACGGAACACAATTTAGTTCAAGTAGTACTTCGCCTTTTGCGATACATATATCACGCATGTCGATATTGCATTGACGTTAGAATTTCGATATATCGTGCAGCCCTAATCAACACCATGTTTTTAGCCTTAATGTCCTCCTCTTAGTTACTACTGATCTCACTGATCTGGAACTCACGAGTATTGCGAGAACTCGTGGTTACCCATGAAACTCCAAAAGTGTTTTCAGCAACCCTTCCATTGGCATAGTGGACCTTTTCACACCTTGATGTGAAATCTGACAAATTAGTGTGAAAATTAGTGTATGTCCTTTTCAGATCAGGTACAATGTCTGTGTGCTTTCTACCTTTAGAGGCACATGCAACATTCATGTTGTATATGAAGTCTCCATTAAAAAAAACAACATTTGAACCTGTCCCACCTCTCAGGGAGCAGTGCTGTCTGTAGGTGTCTCTGACGGCCTCTAATTGAGAGTATCTCTCCACCAGCACCTCCTTCTGTGACTCCAGACGTGGCCTCATGTCCAGGTTTTGCTCAGCTAGGCTGCGATTTGATGCCAACGCCATTTCTCGCTCCAGCTGGATGTTCTGGATCTGAAGTGAAGAGAGATAAAAACTTAATATTTGAAGCAGTTTGTGGAAGCCACTAAATGCAGAGGGATTAACATGTCATTTTATACAGTACAAATATTGTTCTGCGGGGTGATGCTGGGTATCAAACCTCAATACTTATTTCAATACTAAATTTCAATATCACTGGTCAGACGAAGCATCTTGCTAACTTATGTGATCTGACAGTTTCTGATTTAAATCTGAATATTTCAAGTTTTGGACAAATTCATTTCCATTAGATTTAGATATTCAAGAACTGGCTTCTTTATTCAATACAAGAGCGATGCTTTGCAAAAAAACAAAAAACAACTATTTTATGAGTATATTATGTGTCATAATGAGTACAGCTCTATCAAAAGTATCTTTTTAGTGTCCCATGAATACTTGTATCCACCAATCCCAGGCCTGGTGGGTAGAGAACACAGTGAGGCTATTCTTAAGGATTTGAGGGGGGTGATTTATCATGAGAAATACAGTTTAAAAAACTGTAATCATAGTTTAAGGTACTCTCTGCTTTGGGTCCCATCTTACACTATTAGCAGGGTTGCAGGGGTTGAGATGTCTAGGGAGCTTTTTAGGCATAGGTTACATAACACTGCTGACTTCAGTTATTAACACGATGTTCTAGAAAGAAGGAGTCCAAAGGCTCCGTGACATGTGACACCTGGTGTTCAGAGGGAGTGTCACAGTGGTGCTCAGTTGTGAAGGAATCATATAAAAGAGGAGGGGCTGCAGCAATGAAAAACTTTAAAGCCAAAAGAAATGTAACTATAATGTATAATGTTCTGCTACAATACTGCATTAATCCTCATACATTCTATTGTTATACTGCTGTTTACACAACTTTAAAACCATGTTGATAAAAAAATTGTTTTAAAATGTTAATGTTTAATGTGTCAAAGACACATCCATTCTAAACAGAACATGTTTAAACTTTCAAGCCTTTGTTATTACACATTATTATATTATTAATTTAAAAAAACTCATACTAGATACTCTTTATATTTAATTTCAACTGAAAAGATTAGAGACTAGAGATAAATCCTTCACACCACTTTAAAGGGACTCCTATAAACACTAAGGCATTGTGAAACCATGTTTCTAACCCTACATAATGTAAACCAAAATTCTTAATTTATATAACTTGATTTCCAAATTAGGGTACAGTGGATCAGCATCGATCCTAATTCTTAAGAAGTTGCCCAAGATACTAAACCCCAGATTGCCTGTGTGACTGTGATATGACCAACATCTCGCATCACAACAGAGGTCACTTCATGTCCATAATGATACATATCATTACTCATATATTTTCTCCACACATTGTAAAATGTCGATGTCTTTGGAGATAAGTTGTAACAACAGCTGTTTTCTCCTTGTATCTTCATGATTCTTCCAATGTGTTGTTTCACAGCCAGAAGCCTCTTTAAATGTCTGAGTCTGAGCTTTGTTTTGAGAATTCAAATGTGCTCTTGTGGCTCTCATCCATAGACTCTCTGTACTGTGTAAGACCAGTCTGAAGGATAATTTGCAACGTACAGTTTTCTGACTTTTTATCCTGAAACCACATCTATCTAACAGAGGGAGCTCCTTTTTAAGGTGCTAGTCCCTCGTATTGTCATGCAAGGTCATTTACTTATTTCTGTGTCATGTTCGCACTCTTTCGTGTTTGTTTGTGTTGCCTTCTAATGTGTGGAAGAATGCAGAGTCCAAATGATGACACTTACTACTGTAAATAACCATAATTATAAAACGACTCAACAGTCAAAATGATGTGCATGCAACATGAGTTCTACTCTTGTCAATGACCAACCTCAAACATTTTGCACTTTAACCCCTAACATCTAATTAGTTATCAAATTATTTTCAAGGGGAATGAGTTTATCTTATGACACCTTATGATGACTCATGGAAAACTGTGTGAATCTGTATTGACTTGGTTGAAGTGACTTGTATTGAGGTTTGGTTCCAACATCATTAATAAGCAGACACATGGTATGATAACCATTCATTTTCATACTGTGGTATAGCAATGTATGAATTAATAGATCATACAAATAATTGTGTATCTAGTTTGAAATTATTACTAAACAGTATTTGTTGAGAAGAGATTTTACAGGATGTTCTCTTTCCCTTTTCATACGCTGCCATTATGATTCCATTGAAAATTTCTTGTATTACATAAATACTATTACTTGTGCCATACAGTCTAACTTTAACTGACAAAATGTTTGTGTGTACACTCTGATCACTTTAATAATTCACTATTTAGCTACGTTCTTACAATTTGTTTTCACAGCCGTTATTCTGCTCACTGTCCTTTAACATTCATATACACTTCTCTTACTTTATAATTTTACTGCACTAATTTTTAACTGTCTGTGGACACTGCAGTGATGTCATCATTGTTTGTTTTGACATGCTCTATGTATCTTAGAATTGACCTCCAGGGAGAATTAAAGTTGTTTTGAGTTCCTATTTAAATGTATTCCCTTAATCTACAGTATGTCATCAATGTTGGTGAGAGATAGAAACGCAACACTCTGCTGGATGAGGTATAAAACCAGGGTTAAGTCACAGCAGTCAGCCCAGGATTAACAACTTCAACTTCCTCTCCGAGAAATCATGTTTTGTCAATCATAAACCTTGGCCGTTTTTTGCAAAGGAGAAGCAGATGTAAGTGGTGTACACAAAACAATTAGCGAATGAAAACAAAACATGTTGCCTTGGTTGTTAAATTCTATCAAAACTAACCCATAATTCAAAGGTGATGATGTATGCTGCTGATTTTCCGTTTTCTCGACAGCAGCCAGGAGACTTGCCTATTGACTCAAGCTGTACGAAGTGTGAATGACTTAACTTTGTCTGTGGGTAAAATCAATGGGACTTATGGGCGGAAATAACTCCTCACATTTCACAACTCCATTTGTTAAGTAATGCCCATGAGTGTGTGGCTGGGTTTGTACTGTTAATGTGTTACTGTGAGGTCGATGTATATTATTATATATATAACAAATGGTCAGTTTGGGATTTTGATGTATTAGTATGATAAATAGGGTTAGGTTAGGTTAGGTTAGTCATGTGATTTGAGAGGCTCAGCCAACTAAATGCCCTGCAGGGTCTCAGCACTGTAAAACACATTGATGACTTCTCAATGAGAGCTTTCATGTGAGAGCTCGGCCCATCTGAAGGCCACACTGGAAAATGGGAGTCGAGTGGAAAGTGAAGCATCATTTTTACCTCGTCGGACTCCAGGGCCATAGACTCCACCCTCTCTGGGGTGTCCAGGAGCTCCTGTAGCTCTGATTGGCTCAGGTCCTGGAGCTTCTCCATTTGATTTGCCAGAGTGGCTGTCCGTCACAGAGGAACCAGGAAATAAAAGTTAAAAACAATGTTTGGAAACATAAAGTGAACAGTCAGAGGCCTAACAACAACACGTTACTGTCCCTAACCTTGAGTACATGMTTATTAATCACTGGCGAGGTTTGATGACATGTCTATTGAAAACACAGCACAGCACCTAGCTGCCTCTTCACAAAGTTCCCACTGAGCTGCTGCTCTGTGGCGATCGTGAGCATGTTTTCCATGAACAAGTAGCAGTGAGACAGAGTACAGTTGGCTAACGGCTAGCTAGCGTGTTAAAACCACCCTGTGGAGAAACAGTGGGGGTGAGTGACAGCAGGCCACGGAGCTCAACAAGCCGATCGCCAGGATGAGAAAAAAGGCTGAAAAGGAGCCGACACTTACACGATGCTAGCAAACCAAATCCCGCCTGACACTGCACCGTCGTGACATCCAACAGCGCCTCGGTGTCCACTGACAAGCTGACGTGACACGGCCTCGGGATCTCCGACCTGCCCTCGCTCGGGCTCCGCCGGCTCGATAAGCTAGCTAGCTGCACGGAGACGTCTCGCGTTCGCCAACGGTTCCGCGTTGAGCGACCCGATGACAACAACAGTCGGAATGATCGCAATGTCAGCCAGGCTCTCAGCCGCCGTCAACTTCGAGGGAAGCCCGGCGGTTTGACGATCAAACACGGAGCCCAGGGCGACACCACTCGGCCCGAGCGACCTCAGCCACACGCCTCTGGGCGCCGGTGAATGTTGTATCACTGAACACACGAGCACAGTCGACAGAAGGAGCCCGCGAAGCGCCTAATATTCGCTTAAAATAAGAAAGTTTCACTCCACACTGACAGAAACCGCCGCCATTTTAGGAACCATCCACGCTGCCTGGTTTGCGGGGGTGTTCGATCAAAACAAATAAATCCAAAGCAGCACAAGTTAGCTAAACTCATCCGCGGATTCATACGTTTAAAATACTTAGCGTTTCTCGGCACGTTCAAGAGTACTTACTGGATCTGTGGAGGTCTCCTGTCAGCTTGTCCCCCACACAGCAGGGTGATGGTGTCGTCCTGGGTTCAGCTGATATAAGGGAAACCCCCACAGTATGTGACTGTAAGGTTCCAGCTGCTGCTCAGTGCCAGTGGTGGAACATCTGTCACCAGCCAAGGCTCCAGCTATAAAGGCTCAATAGACTGTGATCAGTCACTGTATTGATAGTCAATACATTATTTTACAACGATCAGTTGTTACTGCAGACCTGATAGATTGATCATATGGAATCCGTTCCTGGATCCTGTGGTGGTGGTGGTGGTTTAGTTTGTTTTATCTGGTAGTTAAGGCTTTTATACAGGAACCCTAACCCTTGATGAATGATTCTAACTGGGCAGCACTTTGCTTTGAAAATCCACCCAGTGTATACCTGCGTATATTAAATCCTGGATGTAATCTTTAAATTCACTGATGATACATTTGAGGTCATCTACTGGCTCCTCGTTAGATTTTGATTTGATTAAAAAATGGTATTGTTTCCCCTCACGGCCTTAAAAATACTGAGATCCACAGACAGAGCCCTGCTGGTTCCCAGGTCACAGCTTGAAACTGAGGGTGACCAAGCATAAGAGCCTCCACACATTGAAATTCTCTGCCCATTCAAAGTAAACCTAACCTCTAGTTTCTTTTAAATCCTTTAAAACATTTCTTGTTTTGTGAAATCTTTTAGATTTTTTAAAAAGCTTTTGAACCCAAGAATTAAAATGTAGGTAGAACAACATAAAAACACAAATTCATTCACAGCTACTGATTAAAAAAAGATTCATAATGCTGTTTGCAGTGGTCTTACAAACCAGAACAGAATGGGATACTGGAGGAAGTCTGGTTTGCTGCCAGGTGTTAAATTGAAAAAGTCATATGAATAAACAGATGACAACACACAAATAGTTTACAATATTTAAAGTGTTAATATTAGCACCTAGTTGTCATTTAGTCATAGAGACACATTTTCTGAACCAGAGATATTTTCCTTTGCTAAACTTGAGCTACAGTGTTTGTTTCCATAGACACATACAGGTATTTGTGCAATACTTAGTTTTATTCTCTGACAATAGAGTAAGATGTTTATAGTTTAGCTCTTAGTTGTTTTTTGACTAAATGAATTCTACAATGTCACATTCTATATAATATATCTATATTTTAAAGGATAACAGCAGCAGATTGAGCCAAATATAAACAGTTTTACCATTTTGAATCAAAGTGGAAAATTTAGACCCAGGCCTCATAAAGAGCCAGATGATTACAGTTCTAAGTAAGATACTGTAAAAATTAAAAGTCATATTACACAGAGAGATTTAGCCTCAGGTGTCCTGTGAGAACACTGCTGACAGTATTAGATTCAAGTCGTAGCTATCAATGACAGTGTAAAAGCTTCATTTCCATTGAGACCTGTTGAGTAAAAAATAAGATGTGAATAGAAAGAGACCCTGAGATCAGTAAAAGGTTCGAAGTGTGAAGCTGTGATCATCACAGTTGCAGACAGTTACCAATGCTGCATTTGAGGGACTAATGTAAATGTACTTTAAGGATCAATGGTAAATGTCAAGTGATGAATTCTGTAGTTAAAGAGCGGGAAGCACAACTGCACTGAAAAATAAAATCTGCTGTTTGTCTGTTAATATAGTGCTGCTGGTTGTCAGCGGAGTAAAGGCTGCTCAGTGATTGGCTGCCCAGTCTCCGCCATAGAAACACTAGTAACAACGCTGTCCTGTTCTAACTAAGCACAAGTCACAGGATGGAAAATCACCACCAGTCTTAGTTTATTGCTTCTCAACAGTAAACAGTAGTTGATTCAGAAATGTATTAAGCATATTCAGAGTGTGGGCACATTACACCAGTACAATACACATGTAATCTATTACAACCTACAGACATGCAGGAATTACATGTTCTGTTCAATGTGTTACATACAGAGGTTAAAAGCACCAAGACCACATAATAATTGAAAAATACAGAGGTGCTGAGGTGATCTGTCTTTTCTCACTGATATTTGATTTGTTATAAAATCATGACAAATTAAGAAACACCACACAAAAAAGGAATTGTATGTAGAGTATGTGTAATCACAGTAAAGAAAAGCCAATAAAAGTATCTGCTATGTGTGAAAACATGCACAGACTCAGAGTAAGTTTACTCATGTTTTTGATTTACAGTGATTTACCTTTGTCTTTTTAGACACACATTCATATTTCCACCCAATTACAAGGTTAACTTTGAGAGAGGTGGTTTACATGCAAGTAAAGGCTACACACAAAAAGATATAAGAAGTCTCAGAATTTAGTATAAGTATTTCAGTTTCAGATCCGAACATTGGGAATTCACAGAAACAGTTATATATACCAAACATCGTTTTCCAAGTTCTAATCCTGTTCTTTGTCTTAACATTAATATTCTGAATTAATTTTTTGGTGTCCCTGTCTTTTCCTGTTCAACAGTATGGGCCTAATATTTTTGGAAGACTCAGTTTGCATGAAACATCTGCAAGCAAATGCATCTGTGTGGGGCTACTAGCAAATCCTGCCTACTGGACACTTTGTTGTTGTGGAATCCATAAAGTAATTGTATACAACCTGTGCAGCATCATATGTCAAAGGCACCTCGGCGATCACAGTGGAGGATAAGGCAGCTTAATAGGCAGGTCTGTTTCCTCCTGGTTCCAGTCTTCATGCTAAACTAATTCCAAGATTTAAACAATTCCTTTAAATAGTGTGTGACTGGAAAAAATGCTACTACTTATGCAACATAATTGAAATAACCCAACTGACACTTGATTTTGAAGGCTGATGCTATCATCAGTAAAAACAGTCAAACAAAAATGTGAAACCATCTCAATCATATAATTTTGTAACAGACCCCCTAGATTTGACATTTGTTTTTTAATAGTGAACTAGAGACATAGTTGTGACATTTAGACATCCACTCAGCTCAGCAGTGCTCTCCAGTGGAGGAATTCTGTGATGGAGGCCATTTCTCTTCTGTTTTATCATGCACTAACCAGCATATACATCACTACTAATATATGTGCAATAAGTTGCTATTTGCTAATATAATGATGATATGAAAACAACCTTATGTTCACCTAGTGTAGGTGTTATAACACAGGTCATTGGTCACTAAAATAAAGGCCACAACGTGAGAATTTGTTAGTGGTTAAACTGATGACCTAACCTTTCTCTCAAGGTTTGTCATTCTCCGTGAGAGCATGTGTGTTGTGTCAAATAAAAGTTTGGATTTATTGTCTTTACCTGCTGCTGCTGTTACACTGTGTGTGTGTGTGTGTGTGTGTGTGTG